CCCTGAAGGCAAGGCAAGATCTAGAATAAACCAGCCGAAAGTTACACATTGAAAATCACCCCATGGCCCAGCACAGAGAGTCCAATCAGCATCCAGTAAGATGTTATGGGAAAATCTCCTCTGCAGGTGTTGTGTATCTCAGGATGGTTGGCCTTGAAGACGTATAAACAACTCCCCTCAGCAGCGCCAGAGTTCATGAGTGCAAACCTCCCTTCCTCCATTTCTCACGGGGCTGCCCCACACCCTCTCGCTTCCTCATCCCAGAGGCCTAAACCTCCCCCATCTCCCCCGGGTTGGACTAGATGACCACAAGGTCCCTTCCAACTCTGTTATTCTGTTCTGTTCAGTAAACCAACTGCTGGCCTGACCAAGCAATAAGGCTGTCTCAAATTCTGACAGGACGATTCCGAAGTGAATTGCAGCTCTCTCGTTGGCTTTGATGTAGGAAAAGCATCTCCGAAGCACGTTGAATCAAAAGCACTGGCTGGCCTAGGTTTTGCTACGGCTCTGTTTTAAAGTTTACAATCTTTGAGGCGTCCGATGGTTACTAAACTCCAAATATTATTGTTAAAAAGCACAAGGAGAGATGGTCACGGAGAGATCTTCTGCCCCCACTCATGTTCAATTATTTCCCTTTCCAGCTTGACCTTCTCTTTCCACCCCCCCCCCATCAAGAGAAGCTCGCCAGTAAGAAAATTGAAATTTCTAAGGCCTCTCGTCCCTGCCTTCCTATTTTGAGCTGCGCTGCCACTTTTGATGCTGGCATCGGCCTCTTAGCCAATCTATATTCATGAGACTCAACTTAAAAGGCGCATCGTGGGGAGATAAGATGCTTCAAATCTTCCTTGCCTTGGAGGGGGGGCTATTAGTTCTCTGCAGCGGTTTCATGTTGAGCAAATCACAGTTTAGCCGAAGCATCCATTCAGGCTTCGGGGCAGGATAGCATTCTCTAACAAAGTCTGGATAATGAAAGTTAGGCGCATCAGACTGTCGCTTTGGTTTTCAAATCAGGGAGAATGCTAACTCAGCACGGAGGGAAGCGTTTGCACGTCGCATCTCCCCTTCCCCACTGGGAAGAAGGGACACAGTGTGTGAATGTATGGAACATGTTTCCTTTGCTATTAGTGTAGGGGGAAAGTCCCCATGGTGAATAGACCAGTAGTGGGATTCAAGTAATTTAACAACCAGTTCTCTGCCCTCATGATTTCTTCCAACAACCAGTTTGCCAAACTGCTCAGAAAGTTAACAACCGGTTCTCCCGAAGTGGTGCGAACTGGCTGAATCCCACCACTGCCCTTGGCACTCCGGGCAGTGGTGGGATTCAGCCAGTGGTGGGATTCAAGTAATTTAACAACTGGTTTTCTGCCCTAATGATTTCTTCCAACAACCAGTTTGCCAAACTGCTCAGAAAGTTAACAACCGGTTCTCCTGAAGTGGTGTGAACCGGCTGAATCCCACCACTGGAATAGACCATATAATGGTCAAGTTGCTTCCATTCGATCAGAAATGTTCCAGCCTTGGTGACATTAAGACTTGTGGACTTCAATTCCCAGAATTTCCCAGCCAGCATGAATTCCCTTTCAGCCCCCGAGTTAGAAAATGCACAGGTAAAAATTTTACATGTTCTTATGTGGAGTTCTGAGCTGGGTTGTTTGCTTGTAGATGTTTCATTACCAAACTACCATATTTTTCGAAGTATAAGACGCACCTTAGTTTTGGGGGAGGAAAATAAGAAAAAAGCTGATTGGTGGGCAGATCCGCCTCCTGGAATACCCCCAATCAGCTGTTTCCAGAGGTGAATTTTAGCAATAGGTTCGTTGGTTGCCTTGCTTTTTTTTCTGCCTCTGAAAGCCTCCGAAACAGAGCTTCAGAAAAAAAGGCTTTTTTTCTGAAGCTCTGTTTGGAGGCTTTTTTTCTGAAGCTCTGTTGGGAGGCTTTTTTTCTGAAGCTTCTTTCAGAAGCTTTTTTTCTGAAGCATCTTTCAGAGGCTTTTTTTCTGAAGCTCTTTTTGGAGGCTTTTTTTCTGAAGCTCTGTTTGGAGGCTTTTTTTCTGAAGCTTCTTTCAGAGGCTTTTTTTCTGAAGCATCTTTCAGAGGCTTTTTTTCTGAAGCTCTTTTTGGAGGCTTTTTTTCTGAAGGACTACCTGTAGTCTGTTCAGTCTCCTTTCTTTGGTATTGGTATGTAGATTAACCTCTTCCGATCTGTTGGTTATTGTGTCATTCTCCAGATTTGTTAACATAGTTTGGTTAGAACCTTTACTGATTCTTCTTTCGTTGCTTGCCATATTATTTTAGATAAAAGCCTTTCGGAGGCTTTTTTTTTTGAAGCTTCTTTCAGAGGCTTCTTTCAGCCTCTAAAATCTCCGTTTGCAGGGCTGGGCAGGGCTACATTCAGAGTATAAGGCGCACCCAGATTTTCACCTCTTTTTGGTGGGAGACATGGGCGGATGCCTCCCACCAGCCAGCTGGTCTTCGGGTCTCTGCTGTGCATGCACAGGTGCCAAGGTGCATTCAGGGCAGAGGTGGGTTTCAGCAGGTTCTGACCAGTTCTGGAGAACCGGCAGCGGAAATTTTGAGTAGTTCAGAGAACCGGTAGTAAAAATTCTGACTTGCCCCGCCCCCATCTATTCTCTGCCTCCCAAGTCCCAGCTGATCGGGAGGAAATGGGGATTTTGCAGTAACCTTCCCCTGGATTGGGGAGGGAATGGAGATTTTACAGTATCCTTTCCCTGCCATGCCCACCAAGCCACGCCCACCAAGCCATGCCAGCCCACCAAGTCATGCCATGCCATGCCACGCCCACCAAGCCACACCTACAGAACTGGTAGTAAAAAATTTCGAAACCCACCACTGATGCAGGGGTCCGTGTGTGCATGCACGGGAGGTGGGGCGCATTTTGGGGGTTTGGGTACGCACACGCTTTGGCCACTTGGTCCAGAAAAGGTCTGGAAAAGGTATAGCATCACTGCTATAGCATATGCTGCCTTTAAATGCCAAGTATTTTCATTTGTAGAAGGAGTGTAACACGCAATGAATCCTCCGAATAAGTATGTCGTTCAGGTGCCAAATAAAAGGAAAAGGCAACCGTCACCAAAGCAATTAGTTGTCAGATGAAAACAATTAAGGATTTATTTCAACTCAGAAACCCGCAAATGAGAAAGTCAATAACGGCTCGCTTCCTGTGTGTCTCCTCTTGACGCTCTTATAAAAAGGAAGCCATTACCTTGGATATTACCTAAGCTTACCACTTACCTGATTTGATAGTTGTTGCCAGGCGAGTGAGGGTTATTGCTTTTTCATTGTTTTTATACAGGGTAAAAAAAGCAGTGGAGCAAAATTCCGATTTCCCACTGTCTTCCCCATTGACTTGCTTATGAGAAACTGGCAGAGACGGTTGAAAATCACAGTCACATGACTGTGGCATACCGTAGAAGTGCCGCAAAGCAGGGCAGCGGGTCTGCGGTGGTCTGGTCAGAAGATCCTTGAAATTTCAATCCTAATGGAATAATGGATCCTGGATTTTGGATGTGTTCTTTAAATTAGTATTTTGGTTACATAATTGTTCCCCTACGATGCACCATTTCACCCAGTTGAAGGTTACAAACCGACAGAAGAGTTTTAGTAGCATGTAACATTCAATGGGCAAGTTTCTGTAGCCCGTTTTGTTAACCAGTCTAATCAAATTGCAAGAGCCTAGCCCAGGGGGTCAGCAATCCACGGCTCTGGAGCCGCATGTGGCTCTTTCATCCCTCTGCTGTGGCTCCCTGTTGCTGGCTGGCTCCACAATTGATAGGGCTTTCAGTTAGGACAGGTAGAGGAAAAAGGATGCTGTGCTAGGAGGAGACTCTATGGTGGGAGAACCAGACTTCCGGTCGGCTCCAGAATTGAATGGAGGCTTCCGGTTAGGACCTTTGTGGCTCTTTGAGTGTTTAAGGTTGCCGACCCCTGCCCTAGCCATACAGACTGATGCTTGCCAGTTGAGTTTCTTATGGAGTTTTTCCAAAATGTTGTCAGTAGAATCCAGGGTGGATTTGATTTAAATTGAGTCGATTTAAATCACGATTTAAATCATGATTTAAATCACTAGTAAAAAGACTTGATTTAAATCAACTCGATTTAAATCATAATTTTTAAAGAGCAACTGTCATCTCTGCTACTCCTTTGACCCGCTGTTGACTCACCGATAGTCCCAGTATTGCAGAGTATACAGCCTCATGCTACATAAACTGAATAAACTAAATTATTTATGTATCTTAAATAGAAAACTATCTTACGATAGATTTTTACCCCAAAAGTTTTTTATTAAAATAAATTCGATAAAAATAAAAAAAATCTGATTTAAATAAAACAATCCGATTTAAATAAAAAAAATCTGATTTTTTTGATTTTTTTTAAAAAATCATTGATTTTTATCCACCCTGGTAGAATCTCTTTGGGTGCTCCAACCCAGCTCTATACAACTCAGACTGCAGTGGGGAAAAGTATGAGAAAAATATTTTATATTGCAATTTCTGCTTCCCAAGAACACAGTTAAAACAAAAAGGACGAGCCAATTTCTTACGTGATGTAAGAATTTGTTCCTGTCTGTTGAACTGAGCTCTAGTTTGATCCATCTCATGAACTTCAAGTTGAAGAAGGGTCAACTTTTAGCAGAAAGCTTCACAGAGATCCTTGGTCTGACCACGTTATAATAAACTCAATTATTTACAGCCAATTGAGCTACATTAGAAAGCTATAACCTCCATGACATTTCTAAATCCATGGTTTATTCATTTGTAATTTATTCTTTCATTCTTTTTTTTCCATGTCTTTAAACTTTTTGAAGGGAGACTATTTTGTTATAGTTCTGAGCCGCTTCTGAGCTAGCAATGAATGTTGGGTATGTTTTAATGAAGGATTTTTAAACCATGTAACTTAAAAAAAGAAAGAAAGAAAGAAAACATAAAACATTCATTCCCTTTTTTTTCCATCTGGTCATCTGTCTATCCTTCTTCCATATAGACACATCCACAATAAATCTGGCCACAATGCCATGGACAGTTGGTATGACAATCCCGTGTCAGGTTATTCTCCCAATAACAGAATCATGACTAAAGAACGCAGGAAAAGTTTCCAGACTGGTAAGTCTTCTGGGTTGATCAGATTTGATTAGGTTGGTGGTCAAAGAAAACTTTGATCAAAGGGAAGTTGTGTTTGGAGATGGTTCCTCCGTTTCCAGGAATCTTGTCTGGTGAAATATACTCAGCACCACGCTGTGAAAAGACAACAGCCTCTGATGAATGAAAAAGGAGTCACACAAAAACCATTTTACAAAGAAGAACACGCCTTTTCTAGGCCAAAATAAAAGAAGGGATGAATTGATCACTGTAGGACAATTGTTTGCTTATATGTTTGTATGAATATGCATTTTGTTACTCTAGATCCGTGATGGCGAACCTATGGCACGTGTGCCCGAGGTGGCACACAGAGCCATATTTCCGGGCACGCGAGCTGTGTCTCAACTCACCTGCAGCTGCACATGTGCACGCGCCCCAGCTGGTGTTCAGGCCTCCAGTGCACATGTGTGCAATTCCAGAGACCCAGCTCTCCTGTGCATGGGTATGCGTGCAGCACACGCATTTGCAGATGGCATTCACGCATGTGCATTGCGCGTGCGGAAGTCATGTGCTGTGCTTGCAATTGCACCGTCTGCACATGCGCACAGCTTTCGTGCGTGCATTTGCAGATGGCATACACACATGTGCACTGTGCGTGTGAAAGCCATGTACTGTGCGTGCAATTGCACCATCTGCACATACGCATGGCTTTCGTGCATGCAATGCACGCGTGGGGGAGCTGCGCAAAAGCTGCATGCATTTGCAGATGGTGCAATTGTGCACACAGTGCACCGGGGGGGGGAGCCGTGCAATAGCGAAGCTGGTATCTGTTTGGCGCTCGGTGAGTAAAAGGTTTGCCACCACTGCTCTAGGTTTTGACTCCTTGCTTTTCAAAAGGAAATTTAGCTGCCTAGGAGTGAAAAATGTATGGCTTTCCAAATGAGGTCAGATTGCTAAGTTTCCCATCATCCTTATATCCTGATATGAGATCAGCTAAATAGGAGCCAGCAGTGTGCAGCGGCAGCCATAAAAACCAATGCAATCCTAAATTGCATTAACAGAGGGATACAATCAAGATCAAGGAAGGTATTAATACCACTCTATAAAGCCTTAGTAAGACCACACCTAGAATCCTGCATCCAGTTTTGGTCACCAGACTATAAAAAAGATGTGGAGACTTTAGAAAGAGTGCAGAGAAGAGCAACCGGGATGATTAGGGGACTGGAGGCTAAAACATAGGATGAACGGTTGCAGGAACTGGGAATGGCTGGTCTAGTGAAGAGAAGGACCAGGGGAGACATGACAGCAGTCTTCCAATATTTGAGGGGCTGCCACAGAGAGGAGGAAGTGGGTCAATCTATTTTCCAAAGCACCTGAAGGCCAGACAGGGAATAATGGATGGAAGCTGAACAAAAGATTCAACCTCGAAATAAGGGGGAACTTTCTGGCAGTGAGAACAATTAAGCGATGGAACAGAAGTTGCCTTCGGAAGCTGTGGGAGCTTCATCACTGGAGGCTTTCAAGAAGAGACTGGACTGCCATCTGTCAGAAGTGGTGGTCTCCTGCTTTGGCGGGGGGTTGGACTAGATGACCTATAAGGTCCCTTCCAACTCTGTTAATCTGATGCTAATCTGATATTGTCCATGCTGCCTGAAATTGGTCAGACCTGGAGTCCAAGTAAAACTAGAAATATTTTGATGTGAGAGCTGAAAAGACTATTACAGTTCCATGCTGCATCAACTGAGTGTATAAACCATCCTCTCTTCTGTTTTGGCCGGGCCTCTTCTGGAATCCAGTTCTGGATCCAATTATGGGAGCCATCAAATGGAAACCTGACCAAATGAGGACAACAAAGATAATGAAGTGCCCCCAAACCTTCTAAAGCAGTGGTGTCCAACCTTGGCAACTTTAATGATTTAATTAATGCTTTGGACTTCAACTCCCAGAATTCCTCCTGCCAGCATGAGTGACCCCATGGCTGGCTGGGGGATTCTGGGAGTTGAAGGCCACAAGTTGTCAGGAAGCCATCTTTTACGTTGGGCCTCAGGTCTGCCACATTTTCTACTGTGGGAAAATTGGAGGAGGGATTGTATGGAGTATGGGAGATATGTAGTCATAATAACATTCCTTTCTCAGAGAGTCAAGGACATCTTGCCCTGGCACCTGAAGTCGGGTGACTGGGAGGCATCTCTAGTTGGGGCGGTGCTTCGATTGGACAGTGTGATGGACATGTGGGTACTAGGGCAGGGACTTGAACTTTCACTTGGGTGGAGAAAACCTGGAAGCTTTCAGATTCGGGTTTTCCCAGATGTGCCAATATGACATCTCTAATAAAATGGAACTTTGAGGAACTTCAAGCCTCGGAGTTTTCTTTCATTCAGGGTGTTACTTGGAACCCTTACACAAGTCTTAAAGTTGCCAAAGTTAGATAACCCTAATCAATCTAAGGAATGATTGAAAGAGCTGATTGTGTATGATCTGGGAGAAGAAAAAACAAGGAAGCATCTTCATTACTTCCGGATAAAACTTTTAGCTGGGCCATCTGAAAGGGCAGGAGAAAAAGAGTGCAGGTTTTTGAGTTTTGCAGAACATTTACTCAGGGAAGATGTCATGTCACATGGAAATGAGGTGAAAAGAAACTAGATATGGGATCCTCCCTTCGCCATTTATCTTAAGCAGGAGGTGCAGACTGAATACATTAATTAGAGAGAATGATAATCCATGTCAAGTGACAGGGAGCCTTTTGGGTCAAAAAAAAAAAGGTACCTTGTCTTTGTAAAGTGAAGGACCACCTTGGGGACAATCGAGAAGTGAATGGACATGCAAGTGAATGGGGCCAACATTCAAATACTGTGTATTTTCAACAATGAAGCTTTTTATTTCTGGAGAATGTTGCATTACAGAATTTCCTTTATTTCTAGAGGGTGGGAAATAGCACAATCATTTCAGTGGGCCAATTTGATGAAGATTTAGGTCCTCGGTTTCCAGAAAAGTCCACAAAGAGGTATTAATTAATTATGTCCGATATGATATAGGGTTTCCTGCTTGAGTAGGGGGTTGGACTAGAGACCTCCAATGTTCCTTCCAACCTTGTTATTCTATGCCCTATGTTCTAATTACCACAAAAACTTCCTTTTCTGCCCTCCCCTCCTTTTGACCTTTTCTATTCCATTTTTATTTTTAGCTTAGCCCACTCATACAAGCAGGGTGGATTTCATCCTTCTTAATTACGTTTCTTTTTCTGTAGCCTCGTCAGACACCAAGGAGGAATGCTTGGAAGCACAAATCAACAGGTTAGCAGAGTTGATCGGAAGGCTGGAAAACAAGGTGAGTATTCCTTCTTTTAAAAAAAAAAAAAAACATTTTCTTGCCAAAGACAATGGATAATTTAGGAAGGTGTCTGTCAACTTGCAAAGCATCCCTGGCCTGCTCTCGAGTTTCCATAGGCCGGGGGGGGATGGGAAACCGGCGAAATGGCACAGCAGCCAAAGACAGATGCACATTCCATGCTTATTTCTTTCAAGGCTGTATCCCAGGGTTACCTACAGCAGCCGAGGGGAGTGACCTCTACAACCCACAAAATTGCTCCGTTGGCGAATGTGATTGATGACACATCCTGGGGGGAGGGGGGAAGCAGAGTCATAATTGGAGCGTAAATTACGTAGGGTCAGAGCTGGCTTCATGTGGGAAATAACTAGCTCCTAATAACTAGATTTCTTTTGAAGTGGGGAGGTCGGGCACGCATGCGTAGGAGCAGGGCGCATAGAATTATGGATGTGGGCACACACGTGTGCCCCCTCCTCCTGGCACGCGAAGGCAAAAAGGTTAGCCATCGCTGCACTATTATATGAAATGAGAGCAAGCCCCACTCCCTTCCAGCATTGATAATGTTACCTAGTTCGGTAATAAAACATCTCCAAGAAAACCACCAAGCTCAGAGAACAGCAAAGACCGCACTGTTCAGTCCTGAGCTACAAATATTCCCTTCTATCGGTACTGATGACGTTACCTAGTTTGATAATGAAACGTCCTCGAGAAAACAATTGAGCTCAAGAGAGCATCAAGAACTCCACAGTTCAACCCTGAACATTTACATATTATGCCTTCCTTGGAGTGGACATTCTCTAGGCCCGTGATGACGAACCAATGGCACAGGTACCAGGGGAGGCACGCAGCACATGAGCCATCACTCCAGGTCAGCTCTGCTGTGGAGGCACATGTGACTCCCACCGGTCAGCTGGTCATTCAGGGGGGTGCGTGCGGGGGGAGCTGTGTGTGTATGCATGGGGGGCAAAGTGCATGCACGGGGTCTATGCATGCATGCGCAGGGGCAGGACACTGCGGGGGGCAGTGTGCACATTTGCGGGGGTGGGGTGCATGCGCAGGTGCCATGCACACATTGCATTTTGGGGGTTTGGGCACTCGTTCCGGAAAAGGTTAGCCATCACTGCTCTAGGCCATTGGGTGAAATGGAAGGATGGGGTACCTGAGTTTTGGGGGGGGGGGTTATTTATTTATTTATTTATTTGTTCAACTTGTATGCCGCCTTCCTCCGAAGACTCTGTTCTGTCCCCGTCTCACACACGCACACAAACAGTCAGCCAGGGGTTAAATAAAACTGGCAGACAACAAATTCCTTCGATAAGAGGATTGGCAGCAACCCAGTAGCTGCTTGCCAAAAACTTTACCCATAGAGGGAGGGGTTGTTCCTCCGTCAGATAAACCCAAACAATATACACACAGTCAAAGAATTGTCAAGTCCAGTCCGTATTAAATCCAAGGCAGATAACGTTGTTTCAAAGATACAATGTGACTCGCTAGTAGTTTAGTTTTGTCCGTCACAGAGTCTGAATGGCCACCTCACCCCCTTATATCCCCTGTGGGGTGTGGTCCAGTGACTCAGCTTAATCTCTGGCACGCCTCCTTTTCTGCTGCGTGCGCTTGTCTCTCCGACGCTGGCGTGGATCCAGCCAAGACTTATCTCTGTTACTGTCCGACTGCGAGGAGATACCTGGCTCCTGGCCAATCTCTTCTCCTTCGGGAGACACCTGAGGCATTGCCAGAGAGGAGGGTCCTGGAGAGGGAGGCCTAGCCAACTCCTCTCCTTCATGTTCGGAGCCTTCTCCCTCTGATAAGTCGGCCTCGGGGGTCGGAGTCACAACAGACTCAAGGCTTGGCCATCCCTTATCTGTTACTCTCCTTCCAAACGATTTAGCTGAGCTCTCAGCCATCACTTTCTGTCAAGCTTCCATTCGTTTCCCTTTCTGAAAAGTTTAGAGTTAATGTAGGAGAAAATTATTCCAGCCCACCATTTTTAATGAAAGTGCATTCCACTGTTTAGCTCAGGGTTGAAAGAACAGTGGGGGGTGGGGGTGGGGGAGGAAAGTCCTTTTGCTGTTCTTGAATCTTCCAGCATTTACTTCAGATGGATGAATTCCAAGTTCGAATAATGGAAGAGACAAAGTAAAATTTCGGCTCCATTATTTACGCCACGGATGTTCATTGTTTTCATCTCTTATCGCATCCTTCCCTGCCTGCCATCTTCCCAAGCTAAAAAAAAAACAGGTTATAATGGATCCAAACAATGAGATTGTTCCGGAATAAACGCGGCTGAAGAATTCTGTTTAAAAATGGTACATATGAAGCAGCAGGGATGTGGTGGCTCAGTGGCTAAGACGCTGAGCTGGTCGATTGAAAGGTCGGCAGTTCAGCGGTTCGAATCCCGAGTGCTGTGTAATGGGGTGAGCTCCCGTTTCTTGTCCCAGCTTCTGCCAACCTAGCAGTTCGAAAGCACGTAAAAAATGCAAGTAGAAAAATAGGGACCACCTTTGGTGGGAAGGTAACAGTGTTCCGTGCGCCTTTGGCGTTGAGTCATGCCAGCCACATGACCACGGAGACGTCTTCGGACAGCGCTGGCTTTTCGGCTTTGAAACGGAGATGAACACCGCCCCCTAGAGTCAGGAACAACTAGCACATATGTGTGAGGGGAACCTTTACCTTTTTAGGAAGCAGCAGTGATTTTTTCAGTTATTAGATTTAAATTGGGCTTTTTCAGAAGTGGTTTGCCTCTTTTAGAAACCAGGGAGTTTCCATGTCATAGAGAGGCATTCACATGTACCAGAACTTCTTGACTTACAACTATTCATTTAGTGACATTTGAAGTTACAATGGCACTGAAAAAAAGTGACTTATGGAAGGTTCTCACTCTTACAGCATCTCCATGGTCACTTGGCACCTGACATATATTTATAATGATTGCAAAATCCCCATTCCCATCTCACTCTGGGGCCAGCCAGAGGTGGAATTTGCCGGTTCTCTGAATTACTCAAAATTTACGCTACCGGTTCTCCAGAATCTGTTAGAACCTGCTGGATTTCACCCCTGTCCACAAGTCTTAAAGCTGCCAAGGTTGGACATCCCCGATGTAGCTTGAGTGTTCTGATATCTCAGAGTTTCCCACAAAGAAGAGGCGGCTCAAGCTATTCTCCAAAGCATCTGAAAGCAGGACAAGAAGCAATGGAAGGAAACTAATCAAGGAGAGGAGCAACCTGGAATTAAGGAGAAATTTCCTGACAGTTCAAACAATTCATCTGTTTTTCCCCAGCTACGGATCCCAAGGAATGCAGCACACACAAACTATGAACCAAACTCAATTTACTTCCAAATGTAGTTTTTTACAAATGCAGGCTGTTAATTAAAACATCCTTAACAACCTGCCAGAAATTCCACAGAAAGATAAAGTCTTACCAGAGTTGGCAAAAAGGCCAGAAACAAGGTTTGCAAAGACAATCCACATTCAATGACCAGCGAACGAACATGCGTTGTTTCCTGCAATGTTTACAAGCTGTGTGCAAACTTAAATAGGCTAAGGGAGTGGCCAATTAGCCTGAAGCCTTACTCTCAAGGAGACCGCCTCCTCCTGAGTAACCACTCCTGCCTTTTGGCAACTCTGCGTGCTTGTGCATTGAGAAGAGGCTCCTCCACTTCATCCTCTTCACTTGAAGGAGCCTCTGGAGGTTCTGAAGGCCCTGGCTGAGTCTCTGCCTCTGGCACCACATCTTCTTCAGCCTCCTCGCTGTCCGACTCGAGCGCCGGCTGCACAGGCTGCGCTTCGTTGCGAAGGTTGTTGAGAGTGTGGTGGCGCAACAGCTTCCCCGGTACCTGGATGAAGCTGTCTATCTAGACCTGCTCCAGTCCGGCTTCCGGCCTGGGCACAGCACGGAAACGGCATTGGTCGCATTGGTGGATGATCTCTGGAGGGCCCGGGATAGGGGTTGCTCCTCTATCCTGGCCCTGTTAGACCTCTCAGCGGCTTTTGATACCATCGACCATGGTATCATGTTGCACCGGCTGGCGGGGTTGGGGGTGGGAGGCACCGTTCTGCGGTGGTTCTCCTCCTACCTCTCTGACCGGTTGCAATCTGTGTTGACGGGGGGGGGCAGCGGTCGACCCCGAGGCACCTTGCTTGTGGGGTGCCACAAGAGTCGGTCCTCTCGCCCCTTCTGTTCAACATTTATGTAAAGCCGCTGGGTGAGATCATCCGTGGCTTCGGGGTGGAGTTCCATCAGTACGCTGATGACACCCAGCTGTACATCTCCACCCCAGGCCACCCAAATGATGCCCTTGAAGTGATGTCCCAGTGCCTGGAGGCCATGCGGGCCTGGATGGGGAGAAACAGGCTCCGACTCAACCCCTCCAAGACCGAGTGGCTGTGGCTTCCGGCGTCCCGATATAGCCAGCTGATGCCATCGCTGGCTATTGGGGGTGAATCACTCGCCCCCACGGAGAGGGCTCGTAACCTGGGCGTCCTCCTGGATGCACGGCTGTCGTTGGAAGATCATTTGACGGCCGTGGCCAGGGGGGCTTTCTATCAGGTTCGCCTGATACGCCAGTTGCGCCCCTTTCTAGATCGGGACTCCCTACGCACACTCACTCAGGCACTCATCACTTCCCGCCTGGACTACTGCAACGCTCTCTACATGGGGCTCCCCCTGGGGTGCACCCGGAGGCTCCAGCTGGTCCAGAACGCGGCCGCGCGGGGGATTATGGGGGCGACGAGGCGCTCCCATGTGACACCTCTCCTGCGCGAGCTGCACTGGCTCCCGGTGGTCTTCCGGGTGCGCTTCAAGGTGTTGGTGACCACCTTTAAAGCGCTCCATGGCTTAGGGCTGGGGTACTTACGAGACCGCCTTCTGCCACCAATAGCCTCCCACCGGCCAGTGCGCTCACACAGAGTGAGCCTCCTCAGGGTGCCGTCCGCCAGACAATGTCGGCTGGCGACCCCCAGGGGGAGAGCCTTCTCTGTGGTGGCGCCCACCCTCTGGAAC